CCCGCCCGCCAGTTGGGCCGTCAGGTTCCAGGGCAACGAGGCAGCACCGCAGCCCCTGAACCAGAGAGTTCAGAAAAAGTCCCGCATCTCGGCAACCCAGGACAGCTAGGCGCCGGGCTGAGGGTGTGGCCAGGACGCCCTACCCGGAGGGCGTTGCTACGTACTGGGGGACGCGAACGCACGCGCCGCGGCGGGCCCCCCAAGGCCCCAGCCACTCCCGGCACCGACCGGCGCAGAGAACAATGCGCTCTCCTCGGCGCGGAGCCGAGCCGAGCCGCGCCCGGAGGCGGACCCGCCCGGGGCCTGCCGGGAAGTGTAGTACCCGCAGCCCCGCCCGCGCCTGCCCTCCTCTCGTCCGCCAGGGGCCGCTCAGAACTACAAGTCCCGTCAGGCTGCGCGAGGCCTTGCTCGCCAGGCTTTGCAGAAGGGAGTGGGGAGGACATGGCTGAAGGCAGCCCAGGCGGTCCGGCGTGCAGCGGGGTGGGCTGCGGGCAGGACCCGATCCCCAGCAGTGGTGGCAGCAACTTCCCGGAGTACGAGCTTCCTGAGCTGAGCACGCGCGCTTTTCATGTGGGTGCCTTTGGGGAGCTGTGGCGGGGCCGTCTGCGCGGGGCCGGGGACTTGTCGCTGAAGGAGCCGACGGCACCCGCACAGCCCGGGAGCCGAGGAATCGCTGACTCCAACCGGGAAGATGCCGCGGTAGCCCGGGATCTGGGCTGCAGCCTGGAGGCGGCGGCCGAGCTGAGGGCGGTGTGCGGGTGAGTGCTTGGGGCCGGCCGGGGTGCAGCCTTGCTCCTGCGCTCCCCTGGGACTCGTTCTCGAGAGGGCTGTGGTTTAGACACGGGGCAGCACGTCCGCCCTTTCAAAGCTGTCCATTCGTTGGTGCCTTTCCGAACACCGGGAGAAGTCCCACAATCCGAGGGCGCAGTCTCTGCGAGTTGGAGTAAAGGAACAAGTAAGATGCACAAAAGACTGCTTTTTCTATTGGCCAGTTTTTAAACAGCTTGTTAAAAAGGAAAAGCAATCCGGCCCACAGCGGCGTGTACCTGCCATTGACAGACACTGACAATGGAGGAACCTGGTAATGGTGAGGCAGAAGACCGAATTCAGACGAGCCGTGAAACCTATTAAAGAACTCTGATGTCCTTTGGGGACGTCCCGTTTATGTTATTACGGACCCCCCACCCCCACCCCTTTCCACCCCCAAGTGCCTTATTTCGTGTGAAAATACAAAAAAGAACTTTGAATGTTTTCTTTCTCCATGTAACAGTACTGGCTGCCTACAGTCTTTTTCACTATAAAATATTGGCACAGAAGTCTTTGCCCTGAATTCTGGCCTCTCTGAGCCGCCTGCCGGATTTTATCTGACTTTTTAATTATTCAGCGATGTATTTAGGACACAACCTTGACTCCCTGTGGAGAAGGTGCTGGCCAACCTTAAGTATTGCTTTTCTTTTTTGTTTTAGCCTTGATAAACTGAAATGCCTTGAGGAAGGTGAGGATCCGGAAGTCATCCCAGCGGCTACTGACCTGGTGACTTTGGGGTATGGCCTACTCTGCTTTTGTGATGTTTTTGCTTTGCTTTAGGGTGTGGAGGACTCTGCTTTTGATTGTTATTTAAACATTTTTTTTCTACTGTTGAAAGCACAGCCTTGTTATTCATATAGCCACCCTTTCATTCAACTATTGTTAATGTTTGTCCTTGTTTGCTTTAGCTGAAGTGTACTGAATGCCTGCTGTGTCTTTTTCTTTTTCTATACCATTCAGTAAGTTGAGACATAATCCTTTTCCCCTAAATACTTAACCGAATACCTCCTAAAACTGTGTTCTCCTGCATAATTAGTGTAGTATTATTGCGCCTAAGAAAATTGACAAATACATAACCTCTAGTGAACAGTCCATACTCAAATTTGTATTTGTTTTGTAATGTATTTGCGAAAGTGCAGTTAATGTGCTTAGATTCAGAGTGCAAGCTGAATAGTCTGATAGTGTTTCTCAGATATCCATGGTAAGAACCAGTGTTGTGTTTTTGTTTTTTAGAGATTTTTGCCTTAGGTACAGTACATGTGCTTCCGGGGAGAGAGAGAGACAGCGACAGTGAGAGGGAAAGTGAGGAATCACCCCCAGAGGGGATGGCTACGCCGTAGTCTCTTCATTCTCTTGGGATCTTAGGTGCCCACACATGCACGTGTCCAGAGTGATTTTTTAAAAAGAATTATTTATTTATTTAATTCCATTTGTTATTATTTTTTAAAAAGAATGATTTTTAAATTTTATGTATTCGTGCTTTCATTTTAATTTTACCAGAGATAGAGACACAGAGAGATAGAAGAAAAGTGAGAAAGTAAGCCACCAGGTCTCCAGGACTCCAACCACGGTCAGCCATGTGACCTTAAACCACCATGCCACCTGCTGGTTCCCCATTTGTTATCATTATTATTTTAATTTGACCAGAGAGAGAAAGAGAAAGGGAAAGTGAGAAAACAAGTAGCCCTGTCTGGGACTCAAGATGTGGTAGGCCATGTGGGAATCCAGTGCCTTTAACCACCACTCCACCTGCCAGCCCCAACCTGGTGTGATTTTTTTTTTTCTTTTAAAGAATTATTTATTTTTAATTTTATTTACTCATTCTTTTAAAAAAATTTTTTTTTTAGTTCTGGTGATATTTTATTTAGAAAAAGATAAACATCACTGATTCTAAAGATTTCAATTTTTCTTTTTTTAAATGCCACACTAATATCTAATTATAGACATAAAACAGTCCTCAGGGATAGAAGTATTTACACACTGAATGCAGAATAAATATCATTGATTCGTTTTGTATTCCTACTGTCCACCCTCTTTTGCACTTTTCTATGCCTTTTGTAAATCCTTTTCTTTCTTGCTTTCAAATCGACTTTTGGCTCTGGTTTTACCCACTGTATTTCTACTGGTTTCTCCTCAGCTGGGTATAGCAAAAACATGTTCAGTGGGATATCATGTGGAAGAATAGTCTTTGGCTCTTTCTTTCTCAGCTTCTGCACATCCTTCACTTGCTGCTTCTCCCTGTATTTTGCAGCAATAATGGATCTTACAATACGCCCATGCATGTTTGGTGACTGGTAGTGAGGATTTTCATATAAAGTTGGTCCTCCAAAATTCCCCTAGAAAATCTTTATGAGGTTTAGAACAAAACGAGGTCCTATTTCTACAAGAGCAGCATCTTCTATAATCTGAAGGTTCCGAAACCATATCCTGTTATCCAAAATGGTGAAAGTAAACACGTGGTCCACAAATGGTTGACTTTTAGGATGATACCGTGGTGTACTAAAGATCTGAATTAAGAGTGGTAATTCATCAAAAGCAGGATCAAAAGACAAAAGGGGCCGAGAACCTTTCAAACAATTTCCAGTCAGCTTTAGTTCAGCAAGGGTATGAACTAGAAAAATTGTGACAAAAATAAAATTATAACTTTGGCATAATTATTACAAAAGATTATTTTTTCGTTTTTTCATAAAATAAATTTAAAACCAAATAGACTTACTATTTTGAACAAGGAATTTAGCAGATGGTCCACGAGGGGAATTTGAAAGTCACATATAGAGATCCTGTTTTTTCTTAGCTTCAAAATAGATACATTTATTGCAGTTTTTCATTTCATAGACCTCATTAATCACAAATAATTTATCTTTACGATCCATTTTAGTATCTGCTTTAGAATGAGGCATCAGCGTCCTCAAGTCCTGCATTAAATGTCTTGTTCTAAAATTAATTCCTCTGGAAGAAAAGATGAGAATTCGTTCCTTATTTTTCCAATTGCCCTTGCAAACAGGGCCCGGGATACTGTCTCTCTCTTCTTCCTCCACCTCCTCTGCCACGACGCGCCGCTTGTCTGGCATCCCCACATCTTTTTCGTTTCTTTTCGGCTTCTTTGCCTGCACCGCCAAGCCCCCATGCCGTTTTCTCTTGGAGGCCACCATCTTCCCTCACTGCCTGCGCTCCTGGTCTTCCTTCCAGCTGGGCTGTCGCGTGTTTCCGATCTCTATGTTACCAGGCGCTTCATTCTTTTTAAAATTTTTAGGAGAGAGAGAGAAACTGAGGAAGCAAGCTACCAGGTCTAGGACTTGAACCATGGTTGGTCATGTGGGAGTGCCCAGAGCCTTAACCACCACACCACCTGCTGGTTCTCAAGCGTGATTTATTTATTTTATTTTATTTTTTTATTTTTTTGGAGAGGTTTTTGCTATAGGGTGTGTGCGTTCACTAGAAAGACAGAGAGATAGAAAGTGAGAAATCCACCCCCGACCCCCACCCCCGTGGGGGGGGATGGCCACGCTGCAGTCCCTTCTCATGCCATCTGCTGGGCCCATTTTTGTTTTTTAAAAATTATTTATTTATTTATTTAATTCTATTAGTTATTATTTTTTAAAATTAGACCAGAGAAAGAGAGAGAGAGAGAGAGAGAGAAAGAAAGGGAAAGTGAGAAAGCAAACCACCAGATCTGGGACTCAGAATGCGGTCGGCCATGTGAGAATCCAGCACCTTTAACCACCACCCACTGGCCTCCTGATTTTTAATTTTTTTTAAAAAATAATGATTTATTTATTTATTTTTACGAGAATGATTATTACTGTTTCTTCATTTGGCCAGAGAAAGACAGAGAGAAACAGAGAGCGAGAATGAGAAAGCAAGCTGCCAGGTCCCAGACTCAAACCATGGTCAGCCTTGTGGGAGTCCAGCACCTTAATCACCATGCCATCTGCAGGCCCTTGTTTTTTAATTTTAATCTTTGAGAGATCTGTGCTTTTGTAAAATACTATAAAATGTATTACTAGGAACATGGAATTTTAAAAGACAGAATATAAGCCCACAAAATAGTCTTAAATTCAACAGACATAAGATTACTGTCAAAAAAAAAATTACTGTCAGCTTATAATGAAGGTTTCTGAATGGTTGCTCTCATTTTCTGTACAAATTGAATAATAAATAGCTTGCAGGTCAGTTTGGTCTGGCAACCATACTTTGTGAAGCACTATTTTATGATAATACTGTAGAGAAATTGTGAAATTATAATAGTGAAATTTATCATTTCTAGGCTGTGGCCTGTATTTATTTCCCACTGCTTTGGCTATGGTCTGTTATGCTTGATCCCTCCCTTTCTATTCTCCCCAAATATTTAGGCAGTTATTCAGCTCCATCGCACTGCATGGAGTTTCAGCACGAGAAGGTGCTTTCTTGCTCAAGGCCTCTGCCCAGGAGTAGTTTAACTCACCTCTCCTTATTCCCCTGGCCTTGCTGACTTCTGCTCACCCTTCAAGTCTTAGCGAAAGAACTAAGGACTCCATTTAGGTCCCCTTCATTTTCAAAATAGCCAGAGGGCACCTGTGTTTAGCACAGAGATAGAGGAAGAGAAGGAGAGGGGAAAGGGACCTTCCAATGAGACATACTCATGCTATTCTACTTTCTCTTTCATTTCTTCATCTTGTAGGAATTTGGGGCATAGCATGCACATATACCTGGTGTGTTTTTCAAGCTTCCAAGGCTAGGATTTTAACCATAGTCAGCCACGTGGGATCTGGCTGCCTTAACCACTAGGTCCCTGGGCCAGCCCAGGTCCCCTTCTTTTTTTTTTTTAATTTTTTTTTTGAGAGATTTTTGCTACAGGGCACATGTACCTGCCAGAGAGACAGAGAGAGGAGGACAGAAAATGAAAAATCTCCCCCCCTCCCCAATAGGGATGGCCATACTGCAATCCCCTCTCCTCCATGATCCCCTCTTAGAATTTTGGGCATGCAAACACTTACCTGGAGTGAGTTTCAAGCTTCCAGGTCCAGAATTTTGGGCATGCATGCACACTTTCCTGGAGTGAGTTTCAAGCTTCTAGCTCCAGGACCTCAACCGTGGTCAACTATGTGGGAGTTTAGCACCTTAACCACTATGCCACCTGCTGGCCCTCCCTTCTTATTTATTTTTAAGGTTTCTTTCTTTTTTTTTCTGAGTGAGAGAGACAGAGGGAGGGAGCAAGAATACCCTCCCAACAGGATCTTGATGCCACAGTTCACCCCATCCTCAGCCAGCCCCAGGTTATAGGCCCATGTGTGCCTGGTATACTCAGGGAGGTGTCCAGATGTGAACCCAAACCTTTCCATGTGGCTCAACCTCACAGAACTTCATGTATTGTCATTGTACTATGGTCCAGCTCCTGGGTCCCCTTCTTTTTCTCTCTCTCTTTTTTTTTTTTTAATTTTTTTTTATTTAGAGAGGTTTTTGCTATAGGGCTAGGGCGCTTGCCAGAAAGACAGAGAGATATACAGACAGAAAGCGAGAAATCACTCCCCAGGGGGGATGGCCATGCTACAATCCCTTCCCCATTCTCCTCTTGGGATCTTGGGCACGCACGCACACACGCCCGGTGTGAGTTTAAGCCACCGGGTGTGGGACTCGAACCGTGGTCGACTACATGGTAGTCCAGCGATGTAGCCATTATGCCATCTGCTAGTCCCAGGTCCCCTTCTTATGCTCATGTTATACCCTACACTCCCCTGTCAAAACACTTGTATTTTAA